TGTCAGGGCGTGATAGAACATCTCCATGGATGTTGATATAGGCAACGACAGTGGCGTTGTCCCAAGCAACTAGTAGGGAGGATTTCTTGAGGATTAGTGCCAATATTTGCGTGAGTGAATGAGTGAGCATGGTTTTAAGCCGCCTTTAGCAATTTTCCAGCAATATCATGGCACGAGAAATGGGCTTCACACATTGTACCCATGTGGCCTTTGGCGTGATGAGCGAACACTTGCCAGTATTAAACAGCTAATAATACTGATCTCATCTCCAAGCTGTTGATGTGGACTGGTGAACTCCAGGAGACTTGATGCTGTCTTGTATTCTAGATGAGCTCTACCCGTGAAGATCCGGCCGGTTAAAGTTGGTCTTCAGCAACCCATGCTTGTCGTAAAAGGCGGCTATTGGGATCGGATGGTCAGGCTCGCTGACTTGGTTGACACGTCATCATATCCCAATTACATAGATCGATGCTCATGGTCACTGGATTGTCTCGTCCAGACACGGTTATTTACAGACTGCCACCATATAGCTGGAATATTGCTATTATTGAGTGTGGCGTTAAACAACACAACAACCAACAACAACAACAACAACAACAACCTAGATGAGCTCTTCATCCTTGAGAGAGGCATCTGTGAAGAGATGAGGATCTGTAAACACATCCTGATTGGATTGTATGAGGTTGTCCGTAGATACTATGACAGAGTGTACCCGTTTCCCTCGATACTGGCTGATCAAATAATGAATGAATCTTTGATGAGTGAGTTTAGTGTTACGCCGCCTTTAGCAATATTCCATCAACATCACGGTGGGGAACACCAGAAATGGGATTAACATATTGTACCCATGTGGGGCAGAATACTCTTTCTGAGATTCCATATGGAGTCCATTCGAAACTTTGGGATCTTGGGGGTTATACCAATCGCCTATTGGATTGTCATCCAAGGAGGTCTCTGGGCAAACTGAAGATGACATCCGTCCTTGAGGTTCCACTGGTCATTTGTTATGATTTTAAAAATCTAATTAAGTTGACAAATGCTCGCCCACTGGATCCTTAAATACCTTCACTGGGAATAGTGACATGTGTTTCCGATTACCATTGTGAAGAGTCTTTGCTGCTGCTGCAAGGGAGATTTGTGAAGAGTCAGCTGGATCTAGGTCCACAATTGCCATATTTGGTGGCTGGGAAACACTTCCCATATGCTCTAGATGGGGTCATGGGCCTGCTCTTGCTGTCCTGACAGAGATCGACGCCCAAGAACTTGAATACATGACGTGATGAAGGAGCAGGAATTCCCTCTGAAACGTTGCATAAAGAATAGAAAGAAGTTATCTATAAAAACGTGTCATATATTCATGTTCGTCCAGCTTCTAAATGCCTTTATAAGAACCCCTAGAACTTCTTTTGTGTAACCAGTGTGGCCGGTTCCCTGCAGGGGCCTTTGACGAGAGGGCTTGCTTTGTTGGAGACTTGTGTGTGAGGATGAAACCGAAGTCAAAGGTCTGTGTAACTTCCTGTTCTCCTCCAACTTTCAGGCCTACTTTATAGAAGCTAGTCCTTTGTTCAAATCTTTCAGTGTATGAAAATGAAAAAATGATGGTGGAAACTTGTGTTTCTGTCTGATATTGAAAAGGGGAGCTTCAGGACTTTGTACCTCTGCAGCAAAGTCTTCTTGGACCGGCATCAGCAGCATAAATTCTGGTTAATAAAACATCATTGACAAAGGTGTATCTAAAGGTCCACCGTCTGCGGCATAACCACACCATATAACCATAGCTGGTGTGGGATGTGCAGTCACCTTCCATGACTTCCGTGCGCAAGGATACTCTTCTGATGATGTGATGGTTGCTGCCGGTGCTGGCCATGACTTAGACTACAAGCATGGGCACTTCCTTGGTGACAGCATGGCATAGTCTTCAGTCTTCTCAGCAAGAGCTGTTAATTTATCCGATAGACCTTCTACAAGATCTAGAAATGGCTTTAGGGCAGCAGACAAAATCTTCTCAGTGACATACTTCGGTTGTAGGGCTGGTGTAGATGAATAAGGTGTGACAGGCTTAGACAGGACAGGAGGGATGCCTAAGTCCGACTAAATGTTATATAACATCTCATCTTCATCGGGCACCTGCACAGGGGTATCGCGATGCAGTTTCACAGCTAATTTCTTTTCTTGAGCTCTTCCTTATTAGCAATGCATATTCCTCAAAAGGTGTAGGAGAAAGTTGTTGGCAGAGGTCACTCCTGGAGATGAAGGAAGATGGCATAACAACATATTTAATTGCACACATTTGCAGAGAACAAGTAAACACATGCGCTCAGGTGTGCCCCAGGGGCACTCCTACAGATAGCTCTCGAGAAGACCAAAGGGAAGAAAGAGAAAACAAAACCATTGATTTTAATTTTTTTATTCAAGCTAAATCTTTGGATTAGAAAAGGTTTCAGGAAATAAGGCAATCAAGTGCTAGAGAGATATATTTATAAGAAAGTTGTGATTTCCTGACCAATAATGTATTACATTTTGTCTGTTTTAAGCATTGAAGGTTCGGTTTTCTTCATAATCAAACAACTCGGAAATTGTCACTATACGTTTAACAAGTCACAGTGTACTCGGAAAGTATGAATCTATGTATTAATATTATTATCATTATATGGGTATTTATATAACGCTATATAGTCCATCCCATGCATATGCATGCTCAAAGCGCTAATCGCTATGTTTTCCCATCCATCAACCATTGGATGTCAATCTCAACAGCACATCATATTTTTCAATCTCAACTCAGCCAGTAGGCGCACCAAGGTAACGTGGCTTTACCATCCTTTCGAGGCACCCTTTCACAGCTGGGTGGACTGGAACATATAGTCACAGTACTTTGTCCAAGTTTTACTGCACATTGCTGTACCTGCAACTAGGTGTTACCACTTATTCATGTGGCCAGCATCTGGTGATTTACCAATTGATTCGTGGGTTCTTTTAAGTGCACAGGGTTGTGTACTAAACACTACGGGTTATGACAACACTGAAAGAGTCTGTACAAAAAGCTGACTCCAAGGCTTTTACATTCGGTCACCTTTTACAGCACCTTAAACTCACTAGATCACTAGCCTGGCGCCTTAGACAGCTCGCCCACCACGGGAGGCATGGCGGGCGAGCTGTATAAGGCGTGAAGTTGGTTACATCATTCACAACTGCAATCAAATGCTCATTTCTCTTACGGTCACCAGTCATATGGAAAGGACTGGATTAATTAAAACAACAAGGGTCATGCTCCCTACAATATAATAGACTCGTGCACTTTTCTTGTGGGGGATCTAACTGACAGTCAAACATAAAACTCAACAAAGGAACACTGTATTCACTGGCTATTCATCACTTCACTCAGGCAATCAGGAGGAAGGTACAAGACCTGGGGTTAGCGGTCCAGTACATGGAAGACCCGGTTGTTGGTTCATGGATAATAAGAGCTTTAGCACTAGCCCAGCTCCCTTCAACTGAATGCCTAGGTCGACACCTTGGGTGACACTCCGCCGGTCAACAACGACTAAATTGTGACCACCTCAATCTTGGACCACAAACAAACAACAATCTGGGGAGGTTCCATTACCTAATGAACATGACCCTGCCTCACAACCATCCCATCATCTTCAAGTCTGTCCAGCTAATCCAGAGGATCGAGAAGTCTGAGTTAGCAAAGATGGCACAGGCGGCTTTTGGAGCTGCTGTACACCCCAGGAAACAGGTGTATCGTCAAAAGGAGAACAGACTCGTCAGACTCGGGGATCCACATCAACCTTGCCAGAAAACGCCTCTGGAGTTCCTGCTGGATAGCTGTATGTGCCAGAGATCCAGGTAGTGAAACTGACTGACTGTATGGTGTAAAATAAGAGAAAAGTCAAGATTTTCCCTGATGTAAAATCAGAAGTACACAAGAAATGTTTTATATATTCATAAGTGTTATAAAATCAAATAAAATCTGCTTGTTCTGTTGCTGATCTGAGAATGCTTAAAATATGTAACCTATTGCATACAAATTTTGATCCAGCCAAAAATTTCTTATCCTTATTAGATGATTTGATGAACTCTTTTGTTGAGGACATTATATCATGCAAATTGTGGTATATCCTCCAAACCATTTGAGACCTGTGAAGGTCCGTGTTAGAATATTGATCTTCAGTAACCCATGCTTGTCATAAGAGGCAACTAACAGGATTGGGTGGTCAGGCTCGGTGACTTGGTTGACACATTTCATCGGTTCCCAATTGCGCAGATTGATGCTCATGTTGTTGATCACTGGATTGATTGGTCCAAACTCGAGTATTTACAGACCGCCGTCATATAGCTGGAATATTGCTGAGTGCGGCATAAACTAAACTCACTCACTCATTCCAAACCGTTTGAGGAAATTGCGTTGCTGTTACAAGCCAGCAACATAGGAAGATGTCTGTGACCATTGGAAAATTGGTTAAGGTTCTGTGATTAAGAAAATGTGCTCAACAACAAAAGCTATCCATGAAGATATGTGAACAATACTTGAGCAATTCATGTTGCTCTTCAAGAATGAATGTCCCAACCATTACACATAATGTGTCAAGTTCAGTCAGACAACTCATGTGATTATATTTGAAATCATCACTGTACACGATAGATTAAGTATGTCATACACAAACATACCTGTAAACAAAAACTACTTACAAATGTGAGTTTGATGTTAAACAAGTCTACCTGATCTAAGTAATACTACAACTGACAAGGTTATTGAATAGCATCAAGATTCTGCAACCCGTCTTAAGGTATAAAAAGGTGTTTGGAGCATCCAGTCACAAGAAGTCAGCTAGATACCATCCCAACTGAAACCCAAAATCAAATACACAATGTCATCCATGGGGTATTTGCTGATCTGGTGTCAAAGAGATAGCTTGTTGTAATGTAGTAATGCAATTAGTAATTAGCATCAATAAAGATCTACAAAAATGTAAATAACAATACCAACCATTGAGAAACTTTCATCAGATATAATTGGTCCAAACATACACAAAAGTTCTTTCAAAGCATTAGAATATAACACATCACACAGTATCTGACATTAACAATTCTTGACTGAAGGGCGAAAGTAAAAAATATCTTTTTACATATCATTAAGAAAGCTACAGACAGTTCCTCAACTTTGACTGAACATGGCACATACTGCTCTTCTATGTGGACCATATTATTTTCATATTGTTATATTTCTTCATATCAACATCAAGTTATGGTTTTGATACTGTTCATCAAACTTATCTTCTTATGCAGATACAAATTGACATCAATAAATAAATAATATCAAGTGCCAATAAATTGGCTTCTCATCTTTCTTTATGACCCACATCTTTTCAATTTTGATGATGTTCTCAGCATGACTTGGTAATCCTGTGCTGCTCATTAAAAGCACTCGTATCAATTTCCTTTTCTTCCTCCACTGGCCTTTCCACTATTTCAGGCATAGAAGGTGTATGAGGGGAATTATGGGGTGTATTGCTGTCCTGTCGCTGCCACTGAACACGGGTACGAATATCTTCCAAATTTTCACTGGTCCTTGTACGTCTATTTCTCATTTCATGCATATACAATGCACTGAAACTCATATCAGCTGACATCAACTCCCGTGTACCCTCATCAACAAAACGGGATGAGGCAATTGCACTTAGTCCACTACTGAGAAGATCTGAAGAGCTCTGTAAGCTGCCCATACTTGAGGTATAGAGAGGTCCATCTATGCTGGTGAGCGCTCCCCGAAGACGAGCAGGAAGTTGTACTGGGTGCGAAGGTCCAGGAGTGGTCATTGTGCTCTGAGTAGCATTACTTGTCACCATGTTGCTGAACTGAAACAGTTTCACAGCAGAAAACTCACCATTGTGTGCATCACCAATATAATTATTTTCACCATACAACTACAAGATAGCACTATGCTACTGCAGCTCACCTGGTACATCAATAAACCAAGCAGTTTATGTTGAAAGTTGCCATATATGCAGTAATTTATAATATGTTCCCTCACAGAGGCAGAAAGTGAAGATCTAACAATACATTTTCTATTTCATTATAAACCCGAAAATAATCAGCATTTCAAAAGAGAGCTAACTCTACTTACCTCATCAAAAGTACAAGTATGACCCACATTCGAAAATACTTTTGCAGAGAATATACACTAGCAAAGCAAACATATTATCAAAAACTATTTTTGTAAATATGAAGTATGTTTGCTACATGTTGATTACATTAGGATGTACAAATGGGTAGAATTTCAACATAACTCACTTCTACAAACATGCATCAAAACTAGAATAGTCTTAGCAATGACAATGCAGTGTATTAGATGCCATGTGAAAACAAATTGAGATTGACCCCTCTTTCCCCAAATGAGACACTAATAAAGGGAAACAATCTTCAACTTTGCAAGCATCGAAATATGGATTGGTTGTTTCTAAGGGGAATACAAATTTGATTATTAAAAGCTATAATTTGCACAGGTTTGACTTGGGTTCAGCGCTATTCTCAGTACGCTGCGCAAAGTGACACTGTAAACCGTAACCTAGCAATCAACTCTATGCACATTTTTCATAAATCTACAAGCGATTTGGTAAAATAGAGTACCCCAAAATATTACTACAACAAATTTTGGTACAATGATTGAATGAATGTGTTATTTTATCAGGCATTATATATCGTAATATTGAGTCATATAAGTTGCCACTAAATATATTTTACAGAATGACAGCATTTTGGAATAATTGATTGCTACAGCCGGATAAGTTTTTCATTTGGAACAATTTGATCAGTAACCACTGAGGCCTTACACGTTCCTGCTAAATTAATAAAAACAAGTGTTTGCCACTGATATGGCAATGTCCCCCGCCGCTAAAAAATGGAATATCTATATTTACTACTTTTTTTTTTTTGGTCACATACAAGATGCCTGAAATGACTGGTGTCTGCATAATCACCCAATGTAGGCTGTCAACATAATTGAAAACATTGGGTGCAATGTTTATGAGATATTGCGCTTAAATAAGTTTGAAAAGCTGTCAAAGTGTCGTGGTGACCTTGAAGATAAGGTCCAGGTCACCCAAAACGACTGGTGTCTGTGTAATCCCCCAATGTAGGCTGTCACCAAATTTGAAGACATTGGGTACAACAGTCGATGAGATGTCGCGTTAACAAGAGTAGGCTGTCCCCAAATTTGAAGACATTGGGTACAACATTTCATGAGATATCGCGTTAACAAGAATCGGGATGGACGCCGCTGAATACATAGTCCCCCGTTCCGCGTTGCGGCGGGGAACAATCAATGGGCAAATATCACAAGTACAACCAAAAAAGTATGATATCAGGCAGTTATCTAATTTGAGGAATATGTCCGTCCACACACAGAGAAAAATACCCCATACATCTAAAGCTGTACAACAAAACTTGTTTGATGTGACTTGTCTTTGTAGCAATCTAATATTTAATATTATCTAAAGTGTTTCTATTACACCTGTGTTCATCTCTCAACTGACTGATCATTTAGGTTTGTTTCAGCTGTTTCACATCGGTGTGATGTCTCATTGGTCACCTGATATAGCACACATGATATCTATGTTCATGATATCCATGGTCCTTTAAAATGTTTTTAATTTTGTAAGACCACAATGAACAATCAATCAACATTTTATCTGAACAAGTGAGTGAGTAAGTGAGTGAGTAAATATTTTTCGTCACATCTGCAATATTTCAGCCATTGTGACGACAAAAAGTCATAATGAGAATAAACATATTTATACATCTTTTAAAAGCTGTCAGCAAAGGACAGTATCAACTAGATTATCACAAATTAATTAAAACTTGTTTGAGTTCAGTGTAAAATGCTTGATCATTTCAAAACACAATATAAAAGGGGCTATAGATCGCCAGCAACTGAAGGTAGGTCACCATGCTAGGGACCATGGGGACTTACAGCCACAAACAATCACAGTTGTTTATTCATTCAACCAAATTTAAAAAGAACTTATTAATTACAGCACATGATCAAAAATTAGGAATCAAATCAATTTCCTTTAAAAAAAACAAGAATTAAATGAGGACTTAAATTAGAAAGATCCTTTAAATATGAAACTGTGAAATATCGATCCCTTGTAATGGAAAAATCAGTACAGTAAAGCAGGACATGCCTGACTGTGATTCTTTCTTATAAACCTATGCAGATGTCACTCTATTGTCTCACAAGGTTCTCCTTTTATCGGGTCAACCTCTACAGGCAGTTTCGCAGGCATTCTCCAAGAAATCCCAATGATTTTCTACAGAAATTGCCCAGGCCCCGAGGATTTTCTTCCAAACTGCCCGGTGATTTTCTGAGGAATAGCCCCTGACTTAGAATTATTTTACTTGTACCAGAGACCATATAATAGAGCGACGGCCCTCTCCAACAGTTTATCACTAACCATCAGCGCTACAGCCTGGCATGTAACTGATACACATCGACACCCTGCTGCTAATTTCCCTCTACCGGTACACATGCGCAACAGATGCACAGACATTCGCAAATGAGCACTCTGGTAACCACGTAAACAATATTGCGTAATATCCGGGCCAAGAGTTAATTCCAAGAGTGGGATTTTACCGGCTGCGTTTGACAGTTAAACATTACATGGACAGCTCCAATAAACTGAATACAATAATCTTAATTTTTATCATATCTCTCATTTGCACATGTCAACTGACAACATCGCAGAACATGTATCATTCGCGAAATGCGTGTCGTCATAAGCCTGGAAAATTTGTTTCAACATTCGGCATGGCCATGGACGAATTAATTCATTCACTGGGATGATTCCGACTTGGACCTTGATACTTACTTGGAGAATTTACAGACTACGACAGGACAGAGAATATAAACGAAAAATACAAAAATCAAACTAACCCAGTCAGGTAAAGGCAGTTTTAACATTACAGTTGCCAATATCGTATCGCTAAACGTATCATCACATGGCTAATCTCAAGATTTACTTGCAAGTATTCGTTGGCACAAAACGAGGGTGTGATAAAGCAGTCGATGAAAGTAAAAATTCACGCGAATTTATAAAGAATGTGCAGATTTGCAAGTGTTGGCCAATCAGAGGACTTGCTTCGACCACACCCCTGATGAGTCCGGACATATCGTCATCCATTTGTGTCAAGATCGTTTAGTTGAGAGTCAAATTCGGTTTTCAATCGACTTGCAGAAATAACAACAAAGAATTGGTAGGTGTCATGAGTGTTGCTCGATAGGCCAATCATCCATGATTATGTTTACATCAAGTTTTAATCGATTGCATGCGATTGTAGCGTAGGGATCGGCAACGCAGTCGGGCAGGGTGCACCCTAGAAGTGTCCGGCCTTGTCATTATGTATTGTATTGTGAAGCATTTCGAGTCGGGGTGTCATCTCAAAAACAATATTTTTAAAATCATGAATCCTCAGAAAGACACGAGGGCCTGTGCCTGGCTGCATGGTGTTTCACTAAATGACGCTATTATAGTCTCTGATTCTAATTTTATATTAATTCGCATAATTTTATATTATAAAGTTTATAGTCCCAACGAAACACAATTTCACATTATCCAAGAGCGTTAATGTTTTTTTAATGCCAGGTTGGGGCTAGCAGTGATTATGCTTTCCTCCGAGCCCATGAAATATACATGTTAAATGGGCTGTACTACATTACCCTATCAATTAAAAAATTTCAGCAAAGTGTCAACTTTAACTTGGCAGGAAAATGCAACAAATAACATTAAAACAGAACATCACACGTTCTTATATGTACAATGTATTTATTGTAGAATAGGACCATATATCTATATGTACAATCATGTATTACAAAATTCAACCATTTAGATATTCTTTCATTAAAAACACAGTAAATGTGAATTTCAACTGTTGCAAATAAACTCTAAACTGAAATTGAAATTAAAATTATGCAATAGTTGGTTGCCAATGCTCTTTCAAACAAGGTATATCTACTCAATCAAGATGGGAATATTGTACTTAATAGTAGGCTCTTTGAGTAGCCCTTCCGATGAGTGCCGATGAAAACTTTCTTTTTCCTGGGCATCTACAAAACAAATGATAATTTTATGATATAAATATAATGTTGAATAATGAGTTCATTTTTCATTTTTTTTGTTGCATAAGACAGGCTGTTGGTACTGTCTAAGCCCAGGTAAACTCATAATCAAACTTCATTAGGAAGAATAATGATAACAGAAAAATATATTAATTGTAGTCATGATAAAATAAGGGAAGATGATAACTTATAAACTTCTTGCAACACAACCTGCATAGTTATGTTGTCCATTTAGGACTGATTGTGAATGTAAAACATAAAATCATACAAATCTGTACACAATCTTAATATAACTTCATTAACAGATATTTTAGATATCCATGAAGTGAACTGTACATTGGATTTTAATTTCCATAATTTCTACTCATGTACTTTATTACATGTTGAATTATTAGGCAGATATTGTTGAAATAGCTCCTTCACTTATGCCTACACCAACTGGAATCAAGTCTGCAAATCTGTCTTCATAATTGCCAACACAAACATGGTATGTAGACAGTTTTGATAAAAGTTTCTTCATATCTCTTAAGAGTGGAGAAAAATGCAGGTAAACCAATCCAGAATTCATGATTTGGGCCAAAGTCACGTCAATGTGCATATATTGCAGCTGTAAAGGATGGCTTGATGACTACTGAAAGCTGGACTGAGCCTACGTCAGTCATAAAACTGCACAATAGTAATGTTTTCACGCTTATTTCTTGCAATTGTAAAATTGCCTAGCTCATCTACATGCTGAAACAGCTCCGTTTTTAATGTTAAATATTGCTGGTATCACAGGATGCCATCAACAAATTCATCTACATTGTTGTCCGGATGATACTGGTGAATTGTGTCAAAAAACCCAAAGAATTCATCAGCCGAACAACCATCAGAATCTGTTGCTTCTTCCAAGAATGGGGTATCTGTGGGTTCATCGGTGAGGTCAATGAAGAATGACTTCCATGCTTAGTCCCACAGTGCATCTCTTGAACTGAAAATGGAGATACACAATTTTAATATTAAAAAAATATAATTTGAAGTGTTCTAAATAGTTGTTAAAATTATGCAATAGTTGGTTGTCACTGCTCTTTCAAACAAGGTCTAGTTACTTACTCAAGATGGGAATATTGTACTTAATAATTTACACTATACCTTTGTTTTTACATAAGAAAAGATACAATATTAATATTTGATTTTACAATTGCTTTGATATTTTAAACTTATTTCTGCAGGTACCAGATATAAAAATACCAATAAAATAAATAAATACCAATAACCACAAAATATCAACACAAAATTACTCATTTTTTTTCAAAGACATCATTTGTGAATTTCTTACTTCCATTATTACTTACCTGCAATCATCAAGAACAGTTGATTGAACTGATGAATAAGAATGTCAAAGAGAGAGGAAGAACTGACACCTTGTTGTCTCGGACCCCTCTTTGAGTAGCCCTTCCGGCGACTGCTGATGAAAACTTTCTTTTTCCTGGGCATCTGCCAAACAAATGATAATTTATTATATAAATAGTGTAATGATATAAATAAAATGTTGATTCATTGTTGCATAAAGTCAGGCTGCTGGTACTGTATAATAATATAATAATATATAGCAATATAACTCATAACTTCAGTAGGAAGAATAATGATAACAGAAAAATATATGAATTGTTACATGATAAATAAGGACCTTTTCCACAAATATAATCATCAAAATGAACAATAATGGAAATATGTACTTTTTTTTAAAAACGATTAGGTGAATGAGCCTATTATAGAATGATTTAAATATATATTTGCGTTATATTTATGAACAAAATGAATGTTATGTCGTCTGCTACATGATAATGAATGTTCAGTATACGACGCAAATATGGGTTTACGCCAAAAATCATACAAAATAAAATACTGATTGTAGCCATATCAAAAGTGTACCAAGCAAAAGAGGAAATCGCCGTGAATGTTCACGTTTATTTCAAACATGCTAGTAATGAGCTGTTCTTGTGAAAGCGTGCGAAAATCAAGTGATGTGGAGTAAATATTTCGGAAAACATCATATTTCATCGAATTGCACGAGCCAAAATAAGGAATGACGCGACAGCCACAGACTTATAAATGCCCCTATACCAATCTTTATCTTATTTTCTTTCATTACACCCCGGTAACTAAGGATTTGTATTGAGAATTAGTATCTGTTATAGAAAATCAAAATCGGGACTTTCGCCGATTTTACACCTCCGCCATTGTTCTCACAGAACGACGAGCACACATGACAGTATTCATCAAATACAAAGACAAATATATGCTTTAGCACCCCTAATACAGCTCTAATGCACTGTTGCAAATTTAAGTATATGCATGAGAATACATGAAAAAAATCAAATCTTACCTTTGCAATGAAACTACGCGAAATCGATGACTTAAGTCAACACACGTTTTTGCCAGCTTCCGGATAGGCTGTGCAGTACAAGCGGTGGTTGATGGTTTTGCGCACTGGCTCGAGGGCCATCCCTCTATTATATGGTCTCTGCTTGTACAAGTTTTGCATACGATCATAAAATATCATATGATTGAAAACTTCCAATCTAATGTGCCGGTGCTTGGTTTCGAATCTGCAACACTTCGCTTACTAGCTTGGCAGTTTTATCCACTAGGCTACAGAAGGATCGCTTATAAATTTATTGAACATAGTGAGTAGAAAAAGGTGATGAGAACTACATTCTGTAAGAGTGATCAAAGTCTTCAGAGGCATATGTTTTGAGAAGTCTTTAGAAAGTTGCTATTCAGCCTGCAAAATATCTGCAATGTGCATTAAAGTAACAAAACTGATAATTCAGTCACTTTCATCAGCAGATTCCTTACCCCATAACCGACACCAATGCCTAGACTTGGCATTGGGCTGTACAATGAGGAAAATGCTGCATTTTCCTGCTGCATTACACTGAGTGAAGCCACATCCTTCTGGGCTGAAATGCAAAATACTTTTTAGCTTATTTGGCAAGTGTATACAAAAGTTGGGATGCTGATAGGTAGGGGCGTGTGTGTTTGGGGATGTTTTAGAAAGAGATAAATTCTTTAGAAGTTTACTGGAAAAACAATAACTGTATCAGATTTACAAAAAGAAACTTTCTTAAAATTGTTTATTTGGCATCCTGTTTGTCCAGAAAATGAAGAACATTTTGGGCTCATCTTTTCAGAGAAAGTAATAACCAAGATGTTCTGTCCTGTAGAAATTCCAGGCTCCCAAAGAACATTTCCTTCAAAGCCCAAAGTGTACTGGCTCATGTTGCTGGTGGGAAAAAATCATTATCAAAAAGCTCAAAGCCAAAACGTGTAAATGATTATCAAACTCAGTTGGCACAAATGAAAAAACAATTTAATCTCCTATGACACACATTCAGTCACATATCTTCAGGTACATTCAAGAAAATTTACAAACCATATGTTCTCTTCATGTTAGATCTTTTAATGTTTGAAAATTTGACATATTTCATTAAAAGATGTCTGTTTTTCAATGTCTATAATGTGGTAATTATTTGTGCAATAGTCTTTTGTTCAATGAAACCCCTAACATTTGAAATCACCCACAGCGCCTTGTGTTTAAATCGATTCAGCAATTATGAAGCTAGAAATGGAACAGACTAAACGTTGAAAGGCATCCTTATACACATGTGGATACACAGAGATAATGGATTGAAAAATATCCCATATACCTTGTTCTTTTATTGTGTTTACAAAAACACTGCAGTTGTCTGGAAGTTTCCATTCAGGATTTGTAAGCTGAAGCAGAGATACAACAAGTCAAGTTCATGAAACCAACATACCTTATTCAGATGGCTAACAATTAAATGCATGTTACTGAAGCTACCTGAATATGTAGTCAAAAGAAACATGTGACTAAATTTCAATATTGTTTTCTTGACGTGTAAAACAGGTGCATCTGAAGTATTTTTGTACTGATACTTTGCACTTTGTATTCTTCTAATGGATCATTGCAAAAGTAAATATCATTTGTTTTATGGTAAATACTTGTTTTGAAAACATCAACTTATAATAATGATTGCATGTCAAATGTATTTTTGAAAACTCCCAAACTATCAAAAGGCACTATACTTTATAGGCACTAGCCCTATTAATGTTCCAACTTTGGTGAAGAAATGTATGGTTTTGAAGATCTGCTCCAGAAACATCTTGCTTGGATGGAAGATGCAGATTGTAATACCCCATACATATTGCAGGGTATAAAAACAGGTACACACACAAAAACAAATATTCTTCATGTAGATATCAGGATAATTAAAACAATCCTAATCCTAATAAAATCTGATATAGCATGACATCTTTTGGTTTTGGAGAAAATGCCTGCTTACTGTCGAGGAAATGATTTGTAGATGTTACAATAAGTTTTTAGACCCGTGGAATGCCGCTGCCGATCGAATCTAGCCCTACATAGGTGCTGTCAACGTGGCTGGAATTAATAAACGAATTTAAAAGGTGAGTTTTCGCTGTCTTGGGTGATCCATGATTTTGGCTTGGAATTGCAGAGGTAGCTGTTTTTGGTGAGTCGTGGCGTATAACTTTTGAAATAATGATCCGATTGTGACCATTTATAGCTCATTTGGTAGGGAAATTATCTCGCTTTCGCTCCGGAGGCCTCGACAGGGCCTTAAAAATAGTTTACATGGTGAAATCTAACTTTCATTGAGTAGGGGGTGGTTCCGTCGTTACATCCCTTTCCTTTTATATAGGTCTAGGGTAGGGTCTATATACCTATATGTCTTTCTAACGCCGTTTCTAAGCGTGACACGCCCCTGTGACTCGAAAAGTACTTTGTCGGCTTTATAAAATAATTCCCAAGTCCAGTTAAAACAGTAATATACAAAGGAACTTTTGTGACAGACAGACTCACAATGCTTATAACATGGATGAATGTGGATCACAGTTAGATAATGTACTCACATGAAAATGCATCAGGCTAAGTTCTGTCTTGCCATCCTCTGCCTGCTGGTACTTGCTGACGGGTGTCTCAGTCTCAGCAACCCACTAAACACACAAAGTTCATAAATTTACAAAATATAACATAGCGATAATTTTGTCAAAGTCGCAGTTACTACATTTGGGTGAAGATGCTTAAGAATGACTAACTTTGAGAAGTATAAAAAAAACACACATGTGGGGATGTTGTGGGGATGTCTCTATCAGATAACACAGTTCGAATTCATTACTATTGCAAGCTGTTTTCACATTTAATAAGAATTTACTTATATCAGCAAATGTCATAGGGATATCTGTATTGTATTTACTTATATCTGTAAGAAATCAATAATGTTCTTCTAACATATCACTAAATATTCAAAAATATCTCTATTTATATTTCTGATATTAAAGAAGAATTACTATTAACTAAAAATGTTACTGAGATATCAAGAACATATTAAATTCCATTCAAGATATCTTTTACATAGTTATACATATCCACAAATGCATTACCGATAGCCTCTGACAATAAATGGGTAACAGTGAATTTATGAAGATCCTGTATTATTTTGCTTAGCATCCTCTAACCGGTCTTTATATGTTGCTTAATATGGATTGAGGCGAGGCTCACTTCAAATGGAGAAAAAATGTCTTGTGACATTGAAATGACATGGCAACGGTCAATATAGATATTTACAAAACCCCTTTAAAACATACTTCTGACAAAATGTGAAGTTTTATTGTCTAGCAACATCAGTGACATGTTTGCTACTGAACACCACTTGACATTGCCAGTGGAACCTGAAAGTTAAACAGTTGGAAAACAATATCTCATCGTCTGCCCCATGTACAAGGCAACCACTTTTCCCAGTCCCTTCTTTTCAGGCATGAAAAACTCAAGTAGTATATACAATGATTGTCCGAGACCAAGTCCAACAAAAAGCTGCTGTAAAGCTTTATTTCATAAATAAAGCTTTTGTCAGGCCCTTAGATCTTGCCACCATTGTATATACTACTTTTGAATCCCCAGTTAACTTCCCGGTCACTATGACCGCGAACTAGCACTTTCCTGATCACGTGGCACTATGTCGTGTTGACCTCAATGAAACAGTTTAATGTGAGTCGCCTATGATCTCTTTGGTGTTCATAATACATACATACATACATACATACAAATACTTGTATAGCGCCAATATCCGTAATCCGCTCAAAGGCGCTCTGGCTCTAAGATGGTCTAGATATCACATAGAGTTCAAATGCTTCAGCAAAGAGACACGTCTTCAGATTTGATTTAAAAACAGCTAAGTCTGGTTGTGTTCTGAGGTGAGATGGAAGATTATTCCAGAGATGAGGGCCAGTCGTCTCGAGTGACCTGTCACCATATGTTTTTGTCCTAGTCACAGGAATTGTCAAAAGACACTGGTCATTTGATCGGAGTGAACGTACAGGAGTATAACGGTGGAACAGAGCACAGAGGTACTGAGGTGCTAGACCATGTAAACTTTTGAAAACAAGGAGTAGAGTTTTATATTTTATGCGGTAGTGGACGGGAAGCCAATGAAGTGAGTGAAGAACGGGAGTAATGTGGTCTGATTTCTTTGACAGAGAGACCACTCTGGCTGCAGTATTCTGCACCTTCTGAAGCTTGTGTATAAGATAATTTGGGAGGCCCACAAGAAGCGCATTACAGTAGTCAAGACGAGATGTTACATATGCCTGAATAAGAGATGCTGTAGTCTTGACGTCCAGGTATCGTCGAATCATGCAGATGTTGCGAATGTGGTAGTACACCCTTCTACAGATGTTATTGATGTGTGGCTCCATGGACAGTGAAGAATCAAAAATAACTCCCAAGTTTCGCACCTCATGGTTTGGCTGAATCTCACACTCACCAATGCTGAATTTAGGAAGAGAGATACTGGGTTGGAGTTGCTTAGAGTGGAAAACTATGAGTTCAGTTTTATCATCATTCAGTTTGAGGTAGTGTGACGACATCCAGATTTTGATGCAGCTGACACACTCTTCAATGGTGAGAAATGAAGACACAGCTGATGAGGAAAGTAAGGGTTTGAATGATATGTAAATTTGAGTGTCGTCAGCATATAAATGCAGTCCAAGGTTGAAGGATCTGACGATATCTCCTAGAGGAGAAGTATAAATAGTGAAAAGTAGAGGTCCAAGAACCGATCCCTGGGGCACGCCATAAGCAAGATCCTTAGGACTGGAGATGTGACCATCAATGATCACCGATTGATGTCTATCTGCTATGTATGACTCAAACCACTGAAGAGCAGTTCCTCTAATACCCATCCTGGTCTCAAGTGTATGCATCAGAATAGTATGGTCGATAGTATCGAAGGCACTACTCAAATCAAGTAGAACCAATACTGCAGCACCATCTTTGTCTACGACTCTCAGTATGTTATTGTGCACTTTAACGAGTGCGGTTTCCGTGGAGTGGAAATTCCGGTATGCTGATTGCATGACTTCGAAACACCCATTTAAGGTCATGTGTTCCTTGAGTCTTGTTGTCACCACACGCTCAATCACTTTTGAGGTGAATGGTAGATTTGTGACTGGCCGATAATTTTTCAAGAGCTCTTGATCTAAACCTTTCTTCTTCAGGAGTGGAACAACTCCATTTTTCAATGTATCCGGCATCATACCTTCCTGAAGAGATTTATTGACAACAGAGGTCAATATAGGGGCAAAGGTATCCAGAGAGTTCTTAAGAAGCCATGTAGGTATAGGGGCAAGAATACATGACTTTGTCGGTGACTTAGAAACAAGTTTCACAATCTCTGCTTCTGTTCTGGTCGGAAATGGGATAGGCATGGAAATGCAGCTATTGGTTGGGGCTCACTGTGTGGAAGGTCATCATGTGAAAGTGAGTCTTTGATTGTGGAAATCTTCTGAGAAAAGAAGTCTGAGAACTTGTCAACTAATTGATCAAGGGATGAATGAGATGGAAGAGTCAGGGAATTATCCTTAAACAGAAGCCTGTTAGCTATCCTGAACACGTCCTTCTGTCAATCCACATCCTGCAGTGCAGCTTTGTAATAGCTTGACTTGGCTTTCTCCATAAGAGAGTGAACATGATGTCTCTGGTTGTCATACATCTGCTTATGAATGGCTAACTTGGTGTGTCTAAACTGTTTCTCGAGTTTACGCCTCAGGCGTTTAGCTGATCGAATGTCGTCATTATACCAGGGTGATTCTGGATGAGGAGTTACAGTACAGGACTTCAATGGAGCATGATGGTCAGCAAGTTTCCTGAGCTGAGTGTCATACAGAGTAACATATTCAGTGGCGGTGAGATCTGAAGAGCTAGAAATAGCTGTTGTCATATCTAGCAGAAACTCTTGAAGATCAATGTCCTTCCACTTGCGAAATGAGATGTTCTTTCTGGTTCGTCTTTCAACTGAGATGTTGACATTGAACAAGACACTGTAGTGATCAGACCTTACAGAATGATCAAATCTTACGTTACTGACCATAAGTTCATTCTCACGCACAATCACCAGGTCTAGAATATGTCCCTGAGCATGAGTTGGCTCATGTATAACTTGAGTTAGACCATGAGCTTCCAGAATATTGAGCAGCTTCTGTGCATCTCTGTCATTTGTCTTGTCAATGTGGTAATTAAAGTCCCCACATATTAAGAGCTTACCGGGTGTTGTCGTCAGAGAATCAAGAAGTGCACAAAAGTCATCAAAGAAAGTACCAGGTAATGAAGGCTTGCTGGGCTTTTCGTAACCCCTGTTCTATGTACTTTTTTTTCTCGTCTTCGCTGATAGCAGACTTACGAGACTTGGACCGGATTTCTTGTTTCATCTTACGTTACTTGTTGAGTTCAGAGAGGATTGAACGAAATTCCTCCTCTGAGATCTTACTGTCAGTGAGTGCCGTGGAAATACGCTCGCCTACCGTGTTCAGCTTTGCTTCGGCCAGAACCCTGATCTCGTCGTGTTTCAACGCTTTACGGTGCAGTCTGCGGGATGCAAACTTAAACACCAACCCTGCCACCCCTACCACCCCAGCTGTTATTTCAATGCCTAGCACTATAGGTGTGGCCACGATGGTGGCCAACAACCCAACACCTGCCGCCCCTAGTCCCATGCTGGTTGTCGTGAGGACAGTATCAGCCCCGTCCACGATATTGAAAGCTCTATGGTACTTCTTACATAGTGCTTTCCGTGTGTCGCGGTCTTGTTCTAGTTGGCGTTTTACATCGCATAACTGTCTCAAGCGGAATCTGTCTACAGTTTCCAGTGTCTTCGCGACTTCCTCTACGACTGGGTACAGTCCCATCCTGTGTGTATAATATATTATATGAGATACTTTTTAATTGGGTTTCCTATCTGTTCAATATATTTGAGACTTATAAGGTTTAGATTCTCGTGCAGGGAAATAGGTGAGAGTTTAATGGGTAAATCTATGATTACACGAGCCCACGGGGGGATACTAAGGGGAATATTAAATCCTGTGTCGCCCGCCGTTGTATGGTGATATGGAAACGTTTGTGAATGCCTATGGTGCCCTGGTGTATTGTCAACCCAGGTAAAAGTTGATGCCCTTTATCAAAAGGATCAGCTCTTAGCTGGACTTCTATGATGAGTGTGAAGTCCGGTTTCATAGTTATAAGATCCAATTGGGAATCGGGTACGTTAAACCTTAACTCTGCTTTAAATTCACCACTTATCATGTTACCCGTGTGATCTGGTATTAGATGAGTTTCTATAGCCCTCACATAACTCGGAATGAAAGACCCGATTAAGATACCATTGTTTCTAATTTCGGTGCAGTGAGGGTCATGTTAATCAACCATTCGGGTTCTTTAAAGTCTGCCAGGGACACCCGCCTATACATGTTATCTTTTAAGCATAGGGCGTACAAGGCGTCTTCCTCGCCGGGCAGATCGAACCCTTCCGTGTCTCCTAGATCGTTAAGCGTGGCGTTGGGCCGATGACTAGTCATTGTTATATTACTATCATAAGATAGTTTCCAACTGTTTTTCTGATAATTTCTCAGGGGTGCACTTCACCCCCATGAAGTGTATGTTGTCG